TGATTCACTAAGCAACCCTAGTGGGATGCCGTGTTATGTAATAAATTTGTTAATGACATCCTTGTTTATCTGAGAGAAAAAATAACTGTTATGCTACTCATCTGAAGGAAAGTGGTCTTAATACTCACCATGACTGCACAGTGGAGTCACATTGACTTCTTTCTCTAACACATGAGGCAGGTAAGGGAAGGAAAGGCTTCACGTTCCTTGTTCACCCGAGAAAAGGGCAGCTTGGACTTCAGTCCTTACAATGTTTGTGGAATCCAAATTCCTAAGATGTCCAGCCATTTGACAAGTTCCACCTATGGAGGGACTTCACTAGGGGCACAGCTGAGAGACTTAGCAAGTATGATGGTAGTCATGTACCTTGCAAGTATGTGCATCCTGGGTGTTCTGCTCAGGGCACATCCTCTGGCACTTAGCATAAGAGAAGGAGGCCCTTGAGGGAGAACTTAGAAGGTAGAAGACCACTCCATCAGCATCTCTCTCTTCTGTTTGGTGAGGCTTGCTGCCGTGTAGAGCCAGTCTACAGGAGCCAGGTGCTGGATGCAGCCTGATGTGGCAGCCCCAAGACTGAAGGAATGGCACCCAGGTGTTGTATCCAACACACTATGTTGGATACAAAGGGGCTGGGAGTGGGATGTTGCAGCAGGGCTGGGGGGAGTGGTTCCAGGAAGGTACTTAGGGGTGATCTGCCTCTGTGTGATTTGCTCCTTTCCCCAATCACACTGGTCCCTGCTAGCTCCATACTGGAATGTCATACACTGACCTGTACCCAAAGCTCACAGGAACACATCTTTGCACAGATCCAAGTAGAATGACACTTGTCATTGTCTTGACTGGCCTGTCTTTGGTATATGAGGCTGTCTTTTGAAGGTGGAGTTGGGCTTTACATGTATGTCTGTGATCAGTTACAAATTCCTGAGGGCCACATTTACTCAACATGTTTTTCAGGTGATGCTTTGACGATGGCTTTCATGGTTTCTATTGCTTCTGGGAAGTAAAGAAAATAACAATAGCCCAAATCCCTCTACTAGAAGAAATATATATTTATGTGAGTTCATCAGGTGGAGAAGTATGAAGATGCCATGGCAGCTGATACATGGATGAAACAACTCACCTGGCTATGGCCTCGTCCAGTCCAGAAGCAATGGTGCTGGCACTGTGAAATAACAATCATTGCACAGGTCTCACACAGTATGGTGCAGGCATAGCCAGGAGCTGCTGTGCACCTGAGGAGCTGTTCCTGGGGAAGCCAGGGACATGGGCCCAGGTGAGGCTCTCCAGGCTTCTGTCTCGGGGACACAAAGTGCCTTTATATTGAGCTGCAGACAGGGCTTGAAGCCAACGCCAGCAATGGTACACTGAACTATGAGGCAAGAAACAAACACTGAGGCTCCTGGCTGGATTTGGGTGTCTGCAGAATTGGGGAAATTGTGCTTTGGTTCATTTCCAGCAGTCACCACCAGGAATGCAAATGCACTTAACCTAGGAATGCCAGGGAAAAAGCCCTTTTAGGGAACTGCAGGCCATGCACATGTATTTGATGAGAGAACAGTAGGAAAAGTAATGGACCTTATTGGGGTGTGAGAGCTAGCACATAAACCTGCCTGAAGTTTGGGAGATGTGATCATGAAAATTATTGTCCTTTCTCTCAATGGTAATCACTACTCCTGGCTTTCTCTCCAGAAGAGGTTTTTCTTCTTTGGGCACTGCAGCAAGCAATACACAGAGCTCTTGCCTTCCCTCATGACGGTTATGCATACCTCAGTATGGTAACATATTATATATGATTTGTTATAGCTTGCCTTGAGGATTTATGTTCATTCTCCCACAGCATTAAGGATAGGGCGGCACTCTGAGAGTAGTCTCTAGCCACATTGCAGAGAACATAGCATTCTGAGTGAATCTGAGGAAAAGTGAAGTTGGGAGAACTTTGAGGATCGCCCCTTTGGTCTGTGCTGAAGTAGAGATAAGAGCTAGTGACCATCTGCTTTGCTTTCCTGGTTTTCAGCTTGAAGCTTCATTCATTGTGTTACACCATGTGGTTGCTGAGTACAGCCACATAGACACATTTTAGGGTGTAGATAAAGTAGCTCACCATTTCAGTGCGTACCCAAAATACATCAGGAGACATTACTGTCAGAGGTCTGCATCCTCCTTGACACTGTGTGCACCCTGATTTTCTGAGTGATACTGAAAAAAGTTCCAGTGGCCATGAGACTGCCCATGCACACACACATGACAATCAGAGGACAGTTTGAGGAAAATTTGTTTTCTCTTTCTACTGTGTGGTTCCCACAGAAGAAATGAGATCTTCAGGCTTGTCTTCAAGTACCATTATTCACTGAGCCATCTCTCCAGCTGATCTCCCCAACCATAGAATTTAATAAGCTATGTATTTGTATCATATTCTGGGTATGTCTATTTCTGTGCTTTATTCATATAGAGTAGATTCTTTGCACCTCAAGAATGAATGATTGCCCTAGTTAAAATATATTCAACAACTGCAGTACATGGAAGGAGTTGTGGGGAGGCAAGAGTATAGAGAAAGGAAACCTCTATGAACTTCTCCTTTGGTTGCCAAATACACCTCTGGATGAAATTCGGCCCTTAGTTTCTTTCCCTCTAGTCACCAGAGCTAGGATTGAACCGAGGGCATTGTGCATCCTAAGTAACTACTCTGCCACTGAGTCCAGGTCTGGAACTCCATTCATCATTTACAATGACTACAGGGCATGAAGAGACTCAGTTGTCCATGTGTCTACCCTAAGACTTGTCCTTAATAGCTGACAGAATTCTTTCAAGACTGGGAATGTTTAGTTATCTCAGATAAAAGAAAGACCCACAGTGTACACTGCAAAATAGCAACAGTTTAGAGTGAGAAAGGCTGATATGAAATTATTATATACCTACACAGATGCCAGTAGAGGAAGTCAGGTTTTCTACACATCTGGTGGCATATATCAAACCAGCTAAACACTATGCTTAGGACCCACAGTTGAGTAAAGTGTAGCTGGCTTCAGGCTTCTTCTAGACACTGGGAAGATGGACAAGAAGATTCACTCAATAAAGTAGTAACTTGGTAGTGAGGCCTGAAACAAGGCTGACCTAGTTTCCAGTGTATCTATAGATGGCCCTTCTGTGTCAGGGCCAGCTCAGAAAGAGAATGTCAACTATGGCAGAGAGTAATCAAAACTTCTACCTACTTCTCTGAGCCTGAGCTTTTAAAAGTTCTGGTTTCTCAGCATCTGTCTGGGGTTCCACAGGATTACTTCCTTCGTACTTGAACTCTCTGACTCACCTCCAGTCTCAGGAGTCACATCTGTTCCCAGGAGCTCTACAATTATACAGCAATCACCTGGAAGAAACCCTTCTTGTAGCTGCAACTCTCCCTCTCATGTCCCAGTTTTGCATGGGCCTGCTCTCCACCAGAAGCATGTGTTCTCTGTTGTAGGCTCATGCACTGTGCCTGCTCTGCAGCTTCTCCCAACACTGCTTAGCTGGAGATCTTTCTTGCAATCAAGGATTCCGTATCTCATACCCATGTCCAAAGAGGGGCATCTCAATTCCACATTTTGTTAGATATGTCTAATCTACATTGTCATCCTAGATGTAAGGTGACAGGTCTGCTCCAACCCTGGCCATAAGTAATGCTGGAGCATGAGCCTGAACTCAAAGAGATCACTGGGGACATAGAGTCCTGCATAGATGCCTGGCACCCTACGACAATTAGCATGTCTACCTCATATCCCTGTCTCTACAAATCTCCAGAGAAAATTCTGTTTGATGGAAGGTGATCCAGTCTAATAATACATCACCAAGGGCTGGAAGGTCAAAAGCAAACTGCAGGATCTGAAGTGATGGCTCAAAGGTTAAAAGTATTTTTTTTTTTTTTTTTGGGCATGGTGTCTAATAACAATCTATAAAGGGATCTGCTGCCCTCTTCTGACCTCCTCAGGGACTGCATTCACATGAACCGTACACTAGGAAAAATATTCCTTGATAGGAAATAAAATAAAAATGAATAATAAAAAAAAAAAGCCTACACTAAATGTACAGTCAAGGCAAACAGCATGTACAGCATGCTTCCTAAAGTAACTTTGAAGGTCATTTGTGTTGTGGTTATCACTGATGCTTATAGCAACAAAAAGAGGGGCAGAGAGTCTGGGTTTCCTGGTTTCTTTCTTCTTTTCTTTCTTTCTTTCTTTCTTTCTTTCTTTCTTTCTTTCTTTCTTTCTCTCTTTCTTTCTTTTTTTTTTTAAAGATTTACTTATTTATTATTTACACAGTGTATATGTATGTATATATGCCTGCAGGCCAGAGGCCAGAAGAGGACACAGATCTCATAACAGATGGTTGTACACCACCTTGTGGTTGCTGGGAATAGAATTCATGACCTCTGGAAGACTAATCAGTGTCCTTAACCTCTGAGCCATCTCTCCAGCCCCCTCCCCCTGATTTCTCTTTTACTTCCTTAATGAATGGTTTTCTTTTTTGATATCCAATAGAGAAATAAAGGTGTATTTCTCAATAATTTGATTCCATTGAGAAATTCATGAATGTGCATCTATAATGATGTATTTTAGGGGTAGCTAATTACATGACAACATGGATACAGTATGGATACTGATTCCATCTTATAAAGTGTGTATCCACCCATGGAGTAAGCCATGCTATCCATGCATAGGACACCAATCCCCTGTGTAGTCCTGGCTGGCTGGGAACTCACTATGTGGCACGTGCTGCGTGGAACTTGCAGAGATGCACCTGTGTTTGTGAGTTGTGTGGTTATGAGAGAGATACCACCCTGACTAAAGATGCTGGGGTTAACTGAGAAGAGTCAGAAATAGCTTCTTTTATTAATAAGAAATGAATTATCTGTAAGGGAGCTTTAAAAGGGCAGTCAAAATAAACAAAGCCTTAGCAAACTATTGAAAACAAGAACAAATACCATGAAAATAATGAACTCAAACCAATCAAAAGCAAAAACCAAAATCAAAAACCAAACTAAAAGTAAAAGGGAATATGGACCCAGAGGCAGCCTTGCTGGGTCACTGGCTTGGCATAATTGGGGCCTCTTCACACATAGGAAATAAAATCCAAAGAAGAAAAGGCATCCCCGGAATTCAGTATTTGCTCAGGATCAAGATCAGCAGGTGGTTCCTGGGTTAGCAGCTCCTTCTGAAGGAGGCTCTCATCCTGGGCTGTGGCCTGTTCCAGCTCATGTTTGAATTTTTCTGACCTAAGGAGAGAAAGGCAGTTAGGGCAGAGTTCTGGTGGGGACCTGCCATTGTCAGCTGACAGACAGCAGCAGCCCACCACCTCAACTGTGCTGGACAGTCAATATTGAACTTTTAACAGAAGTCATTGTTGTTATCCAAAGAATAAGAGTCACAGAGTAGCTGGGCCTGGAACTTTCCTTAGCCTCAAACACCTGTCAGAGTAAGAGAGAGTAGTGTATGTTCTCTATTCTACTAGAAAGAATGGGTCTTCCTCTTACAGTCCAGGGACATTATTTTGTAAAAGTAACGTGTTAGTAACATAGTCAACAGCATATGAGCAATACAGATGTTATTCATGATGAGTGACTGATCAACCACATCATTTTATACATAGACATACCACAGCCTTGCAAGTTGGGCCTATGAACAAGGTCATGAGGCTAGCTCAGTTCTCATGCCTAGGAGGCATCTTCAGGTTCACAAGCAACATGCAAGTTAGAGCCTGTCATGCTAGAACAGCATTTACTGAGATGTGTGCCTGAGAGCTCTGACCCTGCCTGGGCTCTGGGACCAAATAGAAATGTGATTTGCTTAGGACTAGAGTTGGGAATCTGCATCCTGTCACTCTTTGGTAGTCCATCACAAAACACTCCTGAGAAGGTTCTAGTCTTCCCTGAAGCTGAGAAATCTGACTGGGTTCATCCTGGAAAGTCCTGAACCTACTCTCTAGAGAGAAAACTTTGCATAGGAAATGGATAAATGTTGCAGAGAGCAATGTTCAAAGGTGGGGATCTCTTCTATATAGGGGATGTTCCTTAAAGAAATTTAATTTCAGTGAGTTGTGGTGGACACACTGTTTAATCCAATTACTTGGGAGCTGAAGCAGGCAGATCTCAAACAGTTCAAGACGATCCTGCTAAGAACATAGAGAGTTCATAAGGGACAGACATACTAAGTATCAAAAATATTGATTCCTGAACATAAATTCTTTTGACTGCACTAGCACAGTACTCTGAGGTTGTCTTTCCTGGTTGTTATTAGGAGCCATGGGTGAGAGAGGAAACCCATAACCAACAGAGATACCCAGTACAGGTGACTACTTGGCTCCACCTCCTCAGTACAGACTGGCCTCCTACCTCATCTGGTATATCTCAAAGTGATGCTGCACCTTTTCTGCCAAGTCCTTTTCCTGGGAGAGCATCTCCTTCTGCTTCAGCAGGATCTGCAGATTTTCCTCCAATCTTTGGAACTCCTGTCATTAGAAGATTGTGTTATTAGTGGAGAGTCTTATACAGGTATTCATATATTGTCATACAAAAGAAGCACATAGAAAGGATCCCAATAGCTTGCTGGTAGGTGAGGCAAGCCAAAAGAATTCACACTACTGAGAGAAAGAGAGAGGGGGAGGGGGAAGGGAGCAAAATACAACATCATGCAAGATGAACAGATGAGTTAGGCCAAGTACAAGATTCTTTCAGAGGAGTCTCACAAGTCAGCCATCATCCCTTGGGGACTAAAGCTGCTGTGGAGAGTGTGCTATGTTGGCCAGAATCCATTGAGGTGGCTAGACAAAATTTCCCCCTGAAACCTCAATGCTCACACACCTGGTCCCCAGCTTGTCAAAAGTTCCCATATGCTAAGCCAATCAAGTTCAGATTGTATTCTCCAGGGTGGGAGAACTCTCCAGGACCACTCGCAGAAAACAGGACTGAGAAGTTGCTACAGATGCTTCTGTCACTGTGAACCAAGTACTGGGTAAGGGAAGAGAGCAAATTGGGATACAGGAAGAAAGGGGGAGGCCACATGCCACCCAAATCCATGACTATGAGGAGCACTCACTTGTCACTTGTACAAGGATCTCCAACTTGCAAACTGCTTCCTACCTGTGATCTCACATGTGCCCTGCAATGCAAATGTGCCCAGGACCCAGAACTCACTCACTCAAAGCTCTGTGAATAGAATAATGCCATGTAGGTGTGGATATGTTACTGACCTATCTCTTCACTGGACTGCAGCTTCAGGCAGAACAGCAGGGATGGCTGGCCAATAATTCAGTTTCATAAGAGGCTAACTTCCAAGAAGCGCTTGTGCATGGACACTGAATGGGTACCTGGATGGCATGAGGTGGATGGCTGGGTGGAGAATGCATGAGTAAGGTGATGTGTGAAAGCACAAGTGGGTGGATGTGCAGACAGGCATTCAAATGGTCAATTGGTGCCTGACCTTAGCTCAACCCACCTACCTGCTCTTACCTTTTGCTTGGTCTGGAGGTCGCTGGTCTTTTCCTTTTGTTTCTTGCAGATCAATTTTAATTCCCTCAAGTGGTGCTTCAGCAGGAACCAATCCTCCATCTGTTTCTTGTTCTCCTGCCTCAACATGTCTACTTTCTTCTTCAGTGTAGTTTGTTCCATCAGGAGCCGGCTGTGCAGACCGCTGGAAAGACCCTCTGTATAGTAAGGTCCTGCCAGGCTCCTTTTCCCACCCCTGCCTCCAGGCACACCAACACCAAATGACCAAAGGTTCTAAGAAAGATATACCCAAGATCTCAGTATAGCCATGATAGCTACACTCAGAAGGCAAAATTAGAGAACAGCAAATTAAAAAAAGCAAACTATTTCTGAAAACCCCAACACTGAAAGGGATCCATGTCCCATCAATAGAAGGATTCCCCCAACTGTCCTTAACTCTCCCTGGTAATGGGAAATATCAGCAGGTATAGGGCACACACCCTCTGCGTGAGGACAGGAAAGCTAGGTAAGTGTATTCTATTTAAAGTTTCCACAGGAACCAGATCTGTAAAGCCTGGGCCTGGTTTAAGATACCCAGGTCTGCCTCTGCCCAGCATTCTCCTCCCAGTGAAAATTTCTTTTTTTTTTTTGTCATATCTTTCTTCCTTCCTTCCTTTCTCTCTTTCCTTCCCTCCCTCCCCCTCTCTCTCTCTGCTTGCTTTTTTGACACTCAGATTTTTTTTTAATGTAATAATCCTATCTGTCCTAGAAAGCATTCTGTAAACCAGCCTACCCTTGAAATAACAGTGATCCACCAACCTCTGCCTCCAAAGTGCTGGGAATGCACAACCACAGCCCAGCTTGCTTTTCTACCTAGAATCTCATGAAACACCAGGATAGTCTCTTTCACACTTACTAAAACTAAGTGCAAGAGGCACAAGTCAATGAGAAGCTTGCTAAGACAAAGAAAAGAAGAACCAAAGTTGTGGACTCTCCAGTCCAGAGATAAAGAAAGGAAGAATGGCCATTCCACAACTGTTAGGGTCCATTCCAAAATAGGCACTTACCGATAGAAGCCTGTCTCCTTGGCAAGGTCATCTAACTTCTCTGAAGCTTTGGTGTTCTTATTCTGTAAGCTCTGTAGTTCTTCCATGATCTCCTTATGCTCTGTCTTCAGCTTCTTATAGAAAGGATTTGGCCTGTGATCGGGACTGGACCCAGGAGCAAAGAACCCTATGAATGCAGGCCTGAAGTTATCAGGTAAACAGGTTGATGTCATGGTCTACCACAGCTAAGTGCATGCCACATTTTAGGTCCTATGTATGGGGCTTCCTGATTGATGCTCAATGAACTTGTTAACTTGGCTAGGGTGAACAGAGCTTGGGTGTTAAGATGGAGAGTGGAATGCTGCATGAACCCACTCAGTAGGCCTGGAGGATCAAACTAGCCTTCTATGCTCCTCTGGAGTCTATGCTACAGGTCTTGACTCACCAGAAACCTGCTCTGATGTTTCTCTCATTTCAGAACAAGGATTCTAGATCCTGGGTGACTAATACTGAACAGTTGGACAGAGCACATACATCTGGGTTTGAGACCCAACATCAAGACAGCTACATAAACTCCCCAAGGAATTCCTGTGTCCCACCAAGGTGAGCACATAGGCCAAGAGCAAGGATGCTTAAGGTGACCCAGACTTATATCACCACTAGTATCACCTGGAAAGTGTGAGACAGGCAAATTCTCAGGATCCACCACAGACTCTCAGGCACACAAATGTAAATGCATGGAAACACACACACACACACACACACAGAGAGAGAGAGAGAGAGAGAACTGAAGAAAGACAGGACTCAGAATTTTCTAAAAGTTAGAGGCACAATAGAAGAGAGAAACACTGACTATACCAGGACTTCCAGGCACACACTGATATGGACCAAGTGTGACCAGGCCTGTACAGCTGCTCCCTGAAGCTTCCTGTACACAGTCATCTACCTGGCAAGTACAGGACTCCCCACATACAGCAGCTAATATGTCATACAAGCCACTCCCTGTCTGGACCTTTCCATATGTGTGCTGGGAATTCACATATTATTCCTTCAGTCCTCTACTTGTGTGACTCAGACTACAAACTCTGGTTTTCATTAGGAACAAGAAAATAGTTGGTATCTGTATCTCATCCTGCTCAGGTTTTAGGTCCTGCCCCTCTTCTGAGAGGCATTTAGGGACATGAGATTGGGCAAAGGAAAACTCTAAAGGATAAAGCTTCTAGAATCCAAGACCTTAAAATTAAGATGAGGGTGACATTGCAGAGGCAAGACGGACACTATAGAGGTTGAAACAATGGATACCTTTTTTCCACATTTCCCTCAGTGATAAAGAGCAGGCGATCTCGCAAATCATTTCTGTGGTTGGTCATCAGCTGCAGCTCCCTGTTCAGCCTCTCCATTTCCTTCTTCACTTGTTTCTTGGTGAGGAGGCTTGGGTGGGTTGATGTCTCCATAGCAGCCTCTGTGGGAAGATGAACACAAGTGAAATTGCATGGTGACAAAGCATAGAGGATGGACAGACCACTCTGAGGTCCAAACAGAAGGATCATGTCTGGAACCTAGTGACACCCCAAATATTTTAGGCCGGGTTGAGACGCCCCCTCTGTGGACCTGAGCTCTCCCATCACTATGTAGAGATGTGGCTATGTAAGCAGTCAGGGGTTTCCTCTGCCTCACTACACATGCTTCAGGAGAACACAGAGACCACCTCTTCAGGACTATTTACAGAGGCACAAGATGAAAGGTAGTCCAGAGCCCTCAAGCCTGCCTGTGGTTTCAGAAGTCAGGAGAAATGGCAAAGTACACAGACACTCAGCTGCTGTGGGGAGAAAAGATCCCCTGCGTGGTTATACAAGCCTATGATTGTGGATTGAAAAGTCATGCAGGGGCACAACATGGTCAAAATACTCACTAAGTCACCCTACCCCACAGACAGACCAGTACACTGCAGTTGGAATAAAGGAGCCAATCTCTTTCCTGGTCCCATGCCTCTCACGGTCGTTCGGCTACACTAGAGAACTGCCAGCCATCCTCAACTGCTGAATTAGAACTCTAAGAGGGGCACTGTCAGGAAGAGTTGGTCAGAGTTGGTCTGCTGTACAGCCTGAGGACACAATGTCTTGGTCAGAAGCACTTTTGTCTCCCTGTGACTAGTGTCGGACAGCCACTGAACCTAAAGGAAACCACTGGGGTGAAGTGCAGTGGTGCCTGCCCTAAGCTGGGGACACATTAGTCCTTCCCTGCCTCCTGCTTGTCTCCTTCTGTCTCCACATTGTACCCCCAAACACCAGCAAAGTAAAATCCCCTGCACACCAGCCTTGGCGTGGCCTGCTCCTGGCTTAGAGGTACGGACAAACTAATGTTGGAGAATCCTTGACTTTCAGGATTATAAAAAGCAGGTGTTCATTTGCTTCTCAGAGGTTCCAGATCCTCTACTCCATTACTGGAAGTCTTAGCCCAAGTCAGCCTCTTCCAGGAGTCTCCCCATCTCCTGCCCAGCACTCACTGCCTATGCCAAAAACATTTCTTTTGATCCTGTTTTACCCTGAGATTGAACACCTGCTTCCTTCTGCCTTTCTATAGTCTCTTGGTGTTCTCCATTTTCTCTTCCAAGTAGTCGCCTCAGTCTTGACAACATGCTTACTGATACAACCGAGAGGCACTGAAGGATTGCCCTAAGGGCAGTTGGCGTTGCTACAACACTGGTGACATCATGGAATGCCATGAGCTCTCCAGGGTACAATAGAATGTCCTGAGAAGGGCCTGAAGATGTTATGGGAAACAGCCATTGCCTCTGCTGATTTTCCCTGAACTGAGCAGAAATCCAGGAGCTTCTCTTGGAAAGTAGAGGAAGCCAATCAATACCTCCTCCTTTTAAAGCCTGAGTTCCCTTCCCTTGAATAGAAGCCCCATCTTAATTCCCATGTTAAATAATGAGCTATACTTTCCAAAAACTGTCCATGAATATCTCATTCCTACCTCAAAATCTGTCTATTCATCAATAGGAGCAATTTAATACTACTCAGAATCCATGTTCAGATGAACGTAAATGAGGGAAGATCACCTTCATCAAGTAAAAATGTTTGAAAGCACATTCAGGAAGAAGCCACAGGCTTTGTTATAGTGTGGGATTTGGATTAAGGTACAGTCATGGAAACCATGTCCTTAACTTAGAGAATTACCCCCAGGATTCGTTAGCAGATAGGGACTGTAGCCATCAGTCCTAAGAATTCTGCTTTATTTTCTTCACAGGTCAGCTAGCCAAGTCTCTCTATATTATCCCAGCATGGGCTGTAAATCATATGAAAACACCCCCTAGTGTCCCAAAGAATGTTCCATGAATAAGCCAAGGGCCTATCACTAGGAGGGGCTAGCAGTTATTTGGCTGGGAAAATTCATGTAATGTTCTGATGCTCAATAACTGTGTTGGGTGTTCAAAGACCATGTGAACATCAGCTGAAAGGCTTGTGTGTTGAATGTGCCATACTGAAATTACCCAGAGGCATCAGGGCACCCTATATCCAGTGCAGGGATGTCGACTTCCAGTCCCTGCTTTATGATGAGATCTTGCTGAGTATAAAGGAAAGATATATGGGAACCAACTGTGCATCATATGACAACACAGCAACTATAGTAACAGGAAAGAAGGCTACAGGGATCCTGGCCTGAGTTTGCTGCCAATATTGTTTCTGAAACTGATAAGTTTCAGGCATAACTCTCAGGCTTGAGTTTTAGGACAATTCTCACATTCTAAATTTTGGGGAAATTATACCCTCAAGACCCTACAAATGATTCTTCATGCCACCTTGATTCCCCTCAGAGAGAATCATAATGGAATAGGAAGTTTATCTTAACACCAACAACGACTGAGGATGGTCTAATTTTGGGGGAGTGGAGGTGTACAAAATGTACATGTTTGATAAAGAGAGGACCAACTTTATCATTGAAGATGTATGCTCATGGAGCAGGAGGTACTATGCAAAAAAGCATGAGTTACTGTGAACAAAACACAGTCTGGTGAATGGACAAAGCATTAAGTGCATGAGGCTCAGCAGCCAGTTCAGAGCTGAGGAAGCAATACTGTATCCAGACATGCATGGCCATGTGCAGGATGCTGTAGTGAAGTTGAAACTGTGGGGTTCAGGGACAAAGCACCAGAGAGCCCCAGGCTGCTAGAAACTGAATGCTACAAAAGTATTGATACACACTAGGAAGATTAATCTTTCAAAATATTTATCTCCCTATGTGGGTAAAGATTTGAGCTGAGGAAATGCCTTGACTCAGGTGGACCTGCAAGGTGTGTTTGCACATGGAGGTGTTTGGGATGGACAGAGGAGGGTTTCAGAAAAGTGCTGAAGCATATCTACAGGTGCGGGGCATTAGGAGGAGTCTAGGAGTGTAAATTAGAGCTTTTCCTGATGCACCATCAAGGATGCTTAAGTGGAGATGAGTCAATTATTCCAAAGATTTAGAGCCAAAGCCTGTAACCTGTTTCATCTATAGCTTTTGAGAGAACATGACATATAAAGCCCTCAAAAGGCATGGCTACAGTGGTGTTGAAAAGGCTGAAACAATAATGACTGCCTTGCTATCTTATGTCCAAGTCAAACACAGTGTGCTGCTCAATCTGCAGTGAGCAAATACTGCTTAGTTTAACTGTTAGGTTGGTTTTTTGTTTTTGGGTTTTGTTTGATTGTTTTGGTTTCAGTTTTGCTATTTTGATGTTACTTGTTCTTGTTATTGTTTTCATAATTTGCTAAGACCCTTCACTGTTTATATTGACTGCACTTTTTAAAGCCTCTTTTGAAAAAAATGTATTTTTATGAGTAAAAGAGCAGTTTGCAACTCTTCACATGTAAGTCAGGTGTGTTGTCACACTTCTTTAGTCCCACAACTCACATATATATGTGACCTCTGCAAGTTCTAGACAGCATGTGCCACACAGTAAGTTCCCAGTCAGCCAGGATTACACAGGAGATAGTTTCCTGGGTGTGGATAGCATGGTTTACTACAAGAATAACAGTTTATGATGGAATCAGTATTCATACTGTATCCATGCTGCCATATATTTAGCTACCCCTAAAATATGTTACTTTATAGACACAATTTTATTTATTGGTTATAGGATCAAATTATTGAAAAATACACCAGTATTACCCTATATTCTAGTCAGTAAAACCATTCCTTGTGGGAGTGTAAAAGAAATGAGGAAACTTGGAGTTGTCTGTGTTTTTCTTGAAGAATAGCATCAGTGATAACCACACAACAAAGATAATCTCCAAGTCACTTTGCTGCATATCATTTTATAGATGCTGTTAGCTTCAAACATGCAGTTAGTGTACTTTTATTTTCTTTTTAAGTTTATTATTTTTATGTGAATGGGTATTTTTCCTACATGAATGCAGTCCTCCTGAGGAAAGAAGAGGGCATCAGATCCCCTGTCATTGATGATTGTTAGCAGCAAATGCTCTTAAGCTATGAGCCATCTCTAGCTTCTGCTCTTGGCTTTTATCCTTCAAGCCCTAGGTTCTATATTAGTTAGACTGGATCACCCCAACCAATGAGAGAATTCTCTGGAGACATGTAGAGACAGGTACATGAAATAGGCATGCTAAGTGTCTTAAACTGCCAGGTATGTATGTAGGGCTCAGATGTCCCCACTAATCTGTGTGGGCTCAGGATCATGCTGCAGCATCACTTTTTGTTAGGGTTGCAGAAGAGCTGTCACCTCTTACCTAGGTTAACAATGTAGATTAGCTTTATCTTGTAGTGTGAGCTCCCTCAGTTTTTCAAGTTGCTTGGTTTTGGAGAGTTAACCCCTGCTTTCACCTGCCCTCAGTGACTACTACCTTTTGTATCTGCTGACTTCTGTTTGAAGTATGTAAATCTTACATGAGAGTTTCCTAAAGGTCCAAAACCTATGCAAAATTTGGTTGTGGGAGGACTCAGAAAACTGAAACATTCTGTGACTGGGAATTGCTTTGGCATTTGCCTCTTTGGGGAGCTTTAGATAAGAGGTTTTGGTGTGAGGAAATTGACTAGCTAAAGATGTAAATTGTATGACAAAAACAAAACAAAGAAACCAAAACCTTTGCAAAGGCAGTCAGTTAGCCAGAGGATGATTCTCCTAACACTCATCCTTGACTGACCCTGTTTCTCTCACACACCTGCATGAACTAAACAATGGACACAAAACATCTGATGAAATACAGATTTGAGGAACCATCCAGAGGTCTTGGTGTGAGGTAAGGGATCTTTGATAGCAAGAAAGATCTCTAGCTAAGCAGTGTTGGGAGGAAGCTGCCGAGCAGGCACAGTGCACGGAACCTGCAACAGAGGACACATGCTTCTGGTGGAGAGCATGCCCGTGCAAGCCTGGGACAAGAGAGGGACAGGTGAAGATATTCTTTGCCAAGGCAGATCTCACAGTATATTGAGGAAGGGTTTCTTCCAGGTGACTGTTTTATAAATGTAGAGCTCATGGGAGCAGGTCCAACTTCTGAGATTGTGGGAGTTCCAGTATGGATGAAGAAATTCTGTGGATCCCCAGACAGGTGCTTCTACAAGCTCACCAGCCAGTTACTCTCTGCCATACTTCACATTCTTTTTTTTTTTTTTTTTTTTGAACTGACCTTGACACAGAAAGTGCTTGGAAACTAGGTCAGCCTTGATTTAGGCCACACTACCAAGTTACTAATATATTGAGTGGATCACCCTGTTAATTTTCTCACTATCTGGAAGGAGTGTGGGGTCAGCTATGTCTTACTCACATGAGGGTCCTCAGCAGAGTGTTTGGCTGGTTTGGTAAATGCTACCAGATGGACAAGTTAACCTGGCTTTTGCAATTGGCATTGATGCAGGTAGATAATATTTTATTGTTAGTGCTCAGTGTGGACTTGACCCCTCTTTTTCTCTTCCAGTTATCTAAACATCCCAGGTGGGGCTTTTGATTGTTTTTCTTTTTTCCAACATATTTCTCTGTGCAGTAGTCCCGGCTGTACTGAATAGAACTTCCATAATAGACTAGGATGGCCTGAAAGTCAGTGATTTTCCTGTGTCTGCCTCCCAGGAGCTGGCATTAAAGGCATGTGCAACCAGTGACCAGCTGCATTCCCAGTCTTGAGAGCATTCTGTCAGCTATTCCCAAGGACCCATCTTGTGGTGGACATACTGACAGTCGAGTTTCTTCATGCAGTCTGCCCTGTAATTGTAAATGCTGAATGGAGTTCCAGACCTGGGATGTAACTCAGTGGCAGAATAGCTGCTTAGCCTACACAATGCCCTAGGTTCAATTAGTAGCTAGAGGCAAAGAAAAGTAAAAAACCCTTATACCCAGAAGTGAAGCTTGCAATGAAAAGGGAGTTTTGATAGATAGAGATTTTTAAGTCCTCCAACCTCCAGCATCCAAACTCCTCCCTTCAACCTCACAGCTCCTTCCGTGTATACTCTTTGTTGAATATGTACTTTCTCTATGGCAAACATTCAGTTTTGGGGGGTGTAAAGAATCTAGACATTATTAATAAGACATAGATATATATTCAGAGAACATAAATACTGATTTAGAACTTATGAAATTTTGTGTTGGAGTGATTGGCTGGCGGGATGGCTTGGTGGGTAAAACTACTTGCTGCAAGGCATACGCAACTAAGTTTCTTCCCTGGGACACACATAATAGAACAAACCTTCTTCAAACTGATCTCTGATCTCCATGTACATTGTCCATGTGCACCCTCACACACACCATAACTGTGTTAAAAAAAAATCACTCAGAAAACCCTGGTGAAAACAGTTGTGCAGGAAGATGCAGATCTTTGACACTAATATCTCCTGAAGCCTTGTAGGTAAACACTGAAATGGGGGATTACTTGATCTATACTCCATATCCTGTCAACGTGGCTGTTTCAGAAAGACTGTGATGTGCATAACCATGGTGGAAAACAACACGATCTCCATGTATTTTATGCTGCCATTCCCAATGTGAGGAGAAGCCTCTTTTATGGAGGGCTAGCCAGGAGTAGGGCGTGGGTTAAGGGGTCACTACTGAAAGCAAGGCCTACACCTCTTTTTTGGCCATATTGCTAAATGATTGGCCAAGTTTTTGTGCCAGCTCTCATACAAGAACTAAGTCCATTATGTTTCCTTCTGTACTCCCTTTCAGAGTAGCTGCCTTTCTCCCTGACTTTGACCACACAAAAACTCATATGTGTATTTCTGGTGGTCACTAGGACAACAAAATCAAGGATAGAGTGTCCCCAGTTTGCAGATACCCAAACTCACCCAGAAGCCTCTTGATCTGTCATTCTTGCCACATTGTACCATTCCTGACCTTGGCTCCTTGCCCTGTCTGCATCTCAATAAAAGCATTTTGAGCTCCTGACACAGAAGCCTGGATAACCTCACCTGTATCCATGCCACTGGGTTTCCTAGGAACAGTTCATAGAATGAGCAGCAGACTCTCTGATTGTTTTTCTTTTCTTTTGTATTTTGAGGCAAGTTCTCTGTATGAAGTTCTGGCTATCTCAGAACTCTCCCTATAAACCAGGTTAGCCTTGAAGTTGCAGAGATCTGCATGTCTCTGCCTCCATGGTGCTGGGATTGAAACCAGCATTCCATTCTGGGGATGGCAAGATGGGAACAACAAGTTAAGGGCAGAGCCTCAAGAGATCCAAGACAGTGAGAAGAACCAAAATGTCTAATGACTGAAATGTCTGGATTATATAGGAATGAGAAGCTAGGGGAAGGGAAGAGAATCCCCTGGACTGGTTGTCAGGGCCCATAAAAATAGCTTCACTTCATCTTGGCTTAAGGTCAGAGAGTTCAAAACTATCCTTACTCTTCCAAGGTGAAAATCACGATACCTAAAATTCTAAGGTGTGGCTACTGAAGGATGTTTGGTTTAAGGTGTGGATGTCTTGCCCAGAAAACAAGAGATTTGGTCTAAGGTGTGGTTACTTTAACCCTCAAGGCCAGATACCATGAAATTTAGTCTAACGTGTGCTAACCAAATGTTTGGAAAATTAGGAAAGAATGCCTGTTCCTTCCTTCTATCTTGACAAAGAAGTCTTTTGCCATTTTCCCCTTTTTGGTTGGGGTATTTAAGAATGTTGAAGAATAAACTTGGGGCATTCAGTATTCACTGGACCCTGACTCCATTATGTGTTTCTTTTTCTTAGAGTCTTTACCTGCTGTTTCTCAATCCATACTCCCCCTCTCAGATACGAACCGGGAAAGTCAGCTGGCTCCGATTGAAGGCCCACAAAGGCGGGTTACTACAGCTAGTGAGGTTTAGGGTTGAGAAGAGCAGAGAGGAGTTGCTGGAACTGAGTGAGCCCGCTGCCGGGGAGCACTTCAGTGTGCTAATAAGCACTGAAAGATCTGCAGAGCGTGGACTTTCATGCTCCCACTCAGGAAAGGTGACACCCAAATCACTCACAAGAAGCAGTCTCGATGCAAATAGCATGAGGAGTTTTTATTCCAAGTGCACTGGAGTCCAGTCATACACCACGCAGGGCTAGAGGACTGAGGACCTCAAGGGCAGAATTGAGATAACTTTTATAGGATTTACATCAAGGCTAACAAGGCCAGTTTCAAAGCTAGCCTGTTATTTTCATTAGGCCTAAAAGCAAGGTCATGGGACAGTTCAAAACTTGGAATGGTTAATAAGGTTTCCTAGGTTACAGAGATTTCATAGAGTACACAGTTTTTACAAGGTGGGATTGTTTAGTGCACCTGCAAGGTTAGGGGGTTTTCTTTCTCTAGGACCAGTGGGCTCAGTGGCCTTGTCCTTGAGCGGCTGGGAGAATGTACTCTCCAGTCAGGGAGTTATCTATATCTATTGGCAGAGGTACTTGTTCTTTCCAGTTTTCCCTTCTTGCCATGAGTCCCGTTTCTTTTAGTTATCAATTTTCTTTGTAGACAGGATGGCCCATAACAATTCCCAGACTGTTGTTGTGGATAACAACATTCTTCAGAAACTATGTGGTTATGAATAATAATAATAATTTCCAGAAACTGGTCATCGTGACCAAGGTATTTCATGTGTTTTTCTTTTTTTTCCTTGAGCTTTGCATGCAGCTAGGGTGATTTTTTTTAAATACATGCTGATGGACTTTTTTTTTTTTTAATTTCTAACTTTTAGTGGTCATTAGAGAGTTAGGCTTTATTTCATCCTTTCAGCACCACAGTTACCACGTGTTCCATGTTTTTTTAAAACTTAACACTAGGTCCAGTTCCCTACACACATCAGGCAGGTTACTACTGCACATAACTCCAGTTCTGGAAGATCCAATGTTCTCTGGCATTCATATGGTACACATAAACTAATGGAGGCTCAAATACATATATGCAAATAAAGATAAACTCTTTTTTGTTTGTTTGTTTTTTTTTCTGTTTGAGACAGTGTCTTGTGTACCTTGTGTCTTAGGAGGTCCTGGAATTTACTATATAGACAAGGTTGGCTAGGAACTCAGAGGTTTACCTGCCTCTCCTTCCCAAGTGCAGGGATTAAAGGTGTGCACCACCACACCTAGACAGAACAATAATAACACACACAAATATATTTGTATATACATAAAATGTATATACACAAAAATACACACAGACACATATCTTCAGTTTTTCAACACAGGGTGTCTCTATGTAACATCTCTGGTCATCTTGGAACCTAGTCACTTTATTGACTAGGCTAATTTTAGCTCTAGGGAGAAAGAGGCAGGAGGATCTCTGTGAGTTCATGGCCAGCCTGGGCTACAGAGCTAGTTCAGGATGGCCAAGGCTACACAGAAACTCTGTCTTAAAATAGCAAAACAAAGCACACCAAAAGAACAAATTAAAGTAATGACCCTGCAGTTAGTTTAAAAGCTAACCAACCCACTGTCTAAGCAGTCAGTCCAGGAAGCCAAACCACACCTCTACAAAAACTACCCCTGAATTTCCAAGATTAATAAACAAATACTAGTGTTGCACATTTTGCCTCTACTAGCTTTCCAGACATTTGCACAGACACTCAGGCCATGCCCTCTAGGATAATAAGCCTGCATTTGCACCATAGAGGATCTTACCAGTAGACTCCAGTGAGCCAGGGCCCCATGAACGACTAAATGGAAAAAAAATCAACATGTTGTTTTCTGCAGACATCCTGGATGCTCTGTGTCTAGGTAGCCTATGTTCATCTTCCCATGATCAAGAGCAGGGGGCACTGGTGCCACCCTTATCTCTCCCACTAGCTTGCCTATGCTTAAATCTTTATCCAAGGTCAGGGGCAGTGAGTGATTTCCTGAGATAGAGCAAGATGGGAACAAGGAGCCTGTGTTCTACTCATTTGAATTAGACAACTCAAACACATTCTACTGGTCTAATTACTGGGTGGCTCTGTTGTCTTATTTGTGAAATAGGATAATAATTCCAAACATAAATCTTTTAGGAGGAAATGGCTTGGGTTGCTGGGGAGCCATCTAATATTTCCCTACTCCCTGAGACTCTCTCACCTCAGTTCAGCTGCCATATAACACACTTCCTCCTACTCTGAGCAGACCTGGGGTCTGGCACATATCCCTAACTATATATTTTGTAGTGGAGGGGCCTGTTGATATCCAGATTCCTGGGCTTTAGCCCAGAATCTCAGACAGACCCTCTGGGATAATAAGCATGCATATGCACCATGGATAATCTTATCTGTAAGACTCCAATGATTCAGGACTCCATGAAGTTTCCTCCAGGAAAAGTAAAATAAGTTTGTGAGTGTGCTTGCATTTAGGCTATTCATCAGCAGATTCTTACTCCAGGTCCACCCTGGGCCCTGCAGTTACTGCTAGTAAAACTTATTTGAAAGCCAGGAGCTCTGCTTTCCCCAAAGTCACCCCCTGGTCCAGTCCCTAGTGCTTCCAACCCCCGGGGCAAGTTCCCACCACCTGTGGGTTCTAATCTGACTGACATTCTCCAGGGTGTCTTCTGAGTGGTAGGGGGACATCCAGAGAGTTCTGAGTACTTTGACTACAATCTCCAGACCTGGGGAGACATTGTCACCTCTCAGGAGCAGCCCAGGCCAACAAGCGGTTCCCCAAGGCTACAAGCTTATGGTGGGCTGAAGGACCACCTTTTTTAGGATAACCCAATCTCAGGTGTCACTCCAAGGGGCACTCAGCTGGCCCCCACCCAGGGTGATGGGACCTTCTCTCAATGAGTCCCCTTTTTCCTCACCTGCAGCAAACACAGCGAGCAGCAGTATCTGTTCATTCCCATAGCTGCCATCAAGTTGGACACAGATCACAGTCCTGAGGATAGCCATTAACTTGACCCTCTCGGTGCTCAGCGTTCTTTCTGCACAAGCTCCCCATCCCCAGGGTACCACCAGCCCTTTCCCTTCTCTAGAACCCATACATACCCTCCCCACATGCTACTAATCAGAGTTGGCCAAAGCCTTCCCCCTCCTCACAGAGGGGCCAGGAGCTGAGGATGCCCATTCTGCTACATGAGCCCCTCATTGTACAGAAACAGGTTGCAGACTTTCCTCCAGAGCCACCAGTATACTCTGTCCAGAAGTTCACCCTGAACAGTGACAGCCTGGACCAGCTAGATGTACTGCTGACCTGAAGACAGTGGGGTCACAACCATAGCAGCCTAGTAACTTTCCTGGAACACAGGCCATTCTACAGTCTGCTTAGCAAGAACAAAGATGGCTCCCTATAGTCCCCAGGGCTCCCTACACCCACCACCTCTTCAAAGGCACTTGGTGATACACACTCAGACTTCCTTGAATAAAACCAGGTTGCTCCATTCCTGCTAACCAGAGATGACCAGGGGGCCAGCAAAGATGACTCACTGAGAACAAGTTTTCTGTCCACTGGCCTGGCTGTCACCCTCTTCTCACTTCCCACCTGGGACCTTGACATGGAAGATGATGCCACGCTGGACAGGCTGATCACTGAGACACTCAACAGCATGGAAGACCAGTCAGAAAACCCTGAGATAGATAATAGCTTCATTGTTGACTTTGCTGATGAGGAGCTTTCAGGATACATGGGACCCAAGAAGAGAAGGAAAGAAGATTTGGTTCAGGACCCAAGAAAGGTCATGAGGTAGGAGGCTGGTGAAAACAGGGGCTTCCTGACTCCAAAGAGGACACTCAGCATGTTGCAGATCTTGGATGCTAGAGAAATTCATGTGGACATACTGAGCATACTGATCACTCCACAGTTGTCCTAAAACATCCTCCATAGTTTCTCACCACTACCAAGACCCAAGAGGAAAATCATTCTGGCCTGGGCTCCTCCAGGAGGTAAAGAAAGCCTGAAGCTGCTGCCTAATTATATCCTGACACCACAGAATTCACAGAGAGGTCCAGTTCTCTAGCTTACTGTGGTGGGGTGAGCCCCAGACCACCTCCTTCAGTGCCAACACAGGCTGGCAGCCCCAGGCTATGGGAAAGCCACCCTGAAACACTCTCAGGAAAGAGCATGCCAGCACCAGATGCTGGCTGCCTGCTGGGTTCTTCTGGTGCATGGAGCCCCCAGTTTGCATAGTAGAGAGGACTCCTCTGCTCCCCAGCCTAGATAGTGCCTGGCACCCATTGATAAGGTGGCAGATGCTTTGTACACTGAACCCAGAATCTAAAACTCTGGTTATGGGTGTGACCCTGACCACTGTGACACTCTATAGGATACCCAGCTGAAAAAGAGGGACCCAGCCTAACAACGACACTCCCTGTGAATTGTTTGGATCCAAGGACCTAGCTAACTGCTTCCCTGAAGATTCCTGCTTCAAACCTGTCGTGCCTACCTTGACCAGCAAGGAAAACACAACGCTCAGACTCTTCTTTAAGCAGTTTATTCAGGAAACTTGTATAATTTTCTCACCCTGGGGCAGCCCATCCCACAGCTTAAAAGCCCTTGGGCAGTCAACCCCAGAATGCCATGTGGTGAAAAACAAAAACAGACAGGTCCACATACATGGAAGCAAGCCAGATTCTCAGCCTTAGCCAAATATGGAATTGTTTAATACAGAGAGCACTCACCATCGGGAAGGTGGAGGGCGGAAGCCAGCACCATCTTTAAGGCATGGCACTTCGCAGCTCTCTACACAAATCTTTAGCTATGGACACACCACCTGCCCACAGTGGCTACCTTATGTCTCTTGTGTCAGCACCACCAAGGAATCCACCCTACACAGTTGAAACGATCCATGCAAGGTACATTGACCTTGGAATCCACATCCATATTTGTAGGGCTGCCTGAGGATGGATTTGACCCATTGCACTACTGGTCTGCAAACAGGGTCACTCATGTACCACTGGTATGTACTGACCCTCTCCCTAAGAAACTTTCTACAGATCCCTGTACCCACCTCCCTCCCCAATCATGCTGCTGGTGGAAGTTTCTCTGGTGCTGCTTGGTCACATTCCTGGCCTCTCCATAGGAAAAAAAATCACTCAGAATGAAGTGTCCCTCAGAACAGACAGTACCTCCCAGCCTTCCTCCCACTACAGTGACTTTAGTGTTAGTCATAGGAGTAATCTGTGTGAGGATGAACTGGAGAGCAAAAGATTGATAACTGAATTAGAAAGTTGACTACAAGGGACAGGGCTTTGGGAGAGCATGAGGAAGATGCTAATGAGGGGAAGACAGAACCAAGCCCAAGGCAGGCCCCCCTGCTACCCACACCTAGGGTCACCTTACCCCACAGAGACATCCTCTCAGCAACCAACATTACAGGTCTTGAGGGATCAAGTTCACAGCAGGAAGGGGCCCTCAGGAACCAATTATCCTACCTAGCCTCCTGCCTTACAGGCAAAGCAGTTCCTTCCCCAGGTACCCAGGAATACCTTGGTTCTGGGTCTCTTCTTAGTGCCGCAGGTTTCAGCCTCAGTTTTGTACAGCTGCAGGAAGACAGCATCTCCAAAAAAAATGATTGTCAGGTCCCTCTAAGTGACCCTTTGCCTAACTCCAACAAGCAACAAACACTCTTGCTGCATGCTGAGAGTTTAGCAAACTACAGTCCAAACTCCGACTGTTCATTTTCTAAAAACAATGAAGCTTCTGAGACACAGGAGAATGTCCCACTTCTGCTTCCTGATAAACCTACAAGAGAGCCCTGTGAGGCCCAGCAACCCTGCCTGAGTTCCTCCACACTAGAAGGAGTCCGCAGCCCCAATGCCTATCTAGCTCTAGAGCCCAACTTGATGCTTAAGAGTGATGAGGGTATCACCTCCCCTCCAAGTGCCAGTCCCAGCCAATACTCTCAGGGAGTCACATAGGAACTATGCTTACTGCCCACATTGCAAAGAACCCTGGCTTTAAGGGTCAGTCTGTACCTGCAGGGGCCTCTCCACTATCCATCCTCCAGAGAGGCAAGGCTTGGCAAGGCAAGGATTCCATGCCAGATCCTTGGACAGAGGCTCCAGGAACCACCTAGTTGTTCCTTTCCTCTGCTCCAAGTCCTGGATGCTAGAGCCTTCAGCCTGGGGAACCCCCCTCCAGAGGCCAGTGTAAGAAGGGGTCTTCAAGGGCTGTAAAGATGTCAGTTCTAACCACAGACATCTAAAAGCAGCTGAGGTCCAAGGAAGATGGGCATCTGTACTCACCAGGTCAATCAAAAAGTACCAAGGGGCTGGGGTCAAGCTAACAGGCTTAGCCAAATAGATGGAGGACCCTGAGGAACACACTCATCAGGGTCGGGGCCCACTTAGAAGGTAGGCTGGTCAGAAGCAGAGTGGCACAGCAGGGGAACAGAGCAGCCTGCAGCTTTAGGAAACAAGCACTACCCTCCACAAGCCCCACCCACTCTGATGGCACATCCTTCAGGCATTAAGAAGAATTGAACTATATCGTTTATATTGATGGGACTGAACATGTTTGATGAAATAAACTACCAAGAAAGGCAAATGTTACACATGTTCATATACAAAACCTGAGTTAAAACAACTTACATACCTCCACACAATACTTGTGACACCCACCCACTCATACACATACACACCATCACACACATAGATACATGCCACACCTCAGCCACACATATTTGCCACACACATACACACATTACATAGACACTCATTATACATACACACATACTACACACACACACGCACACACACACACACACTCTTTCTCTTGCTCTTTCTCTCTCGTTCTCTTTTCCCTCTTTTTTTTTTTTTTTTTTACTGTTCTACTGCTCTATAACTTACATTTGAAAAGGGACTTCTAGTGACATGGTGAGTGTCACAATTCATGTGTTTTCTAGAGAACGGCAATACCCTGGCATGAGGGAGAATGTTTTCTGTGATGGGTTCAGCTCTGATTTAAGTTCTTACAAGCCCATTAAGATATAGATTGAAAACTAGGGTTCTGAAACAGTCTCTACTTCCAAGTAGCTCCCAGGTGACACAGAGACTATGGCAGGAGATTGCCCCATCTCCCTCTCTCTCTCCAGTGCAGAACTTTAGAGCTGCAAGAAATTTTGAATCTTTTCTGGTTACCCCTGGAATATGGATCTATAGAAGGATCATACTCAAGTATATAAAGAAAGGCTATTTCTTCTAGAATGTATTAATCAGTTGGTTCTGCTAAGAAGCAATTTCTGACAATTTTGTTCATTGGTGTTTTTTGCTTGTTTGTTTTTTCTTGTGTAGTTTTTTTGTTTGTTTGTTTTGCTATTTTTTTTTAAATTCATTGTTGGTTTTGCCAGAAGCCCTGAATCTGGAGTTACTGACAATTGAGGGCTGTATGTGAGTGCTCAGAATTGAACCTTGGTCCTCTGGAAGAGCAGTCCATTAACCATTGAGCTATCCCTCCAGCCAATTTCTGACAATTTGGAGAAAAGATTTAGTACAACCAAAAAGTCAAATCTGATACTATAATAAGGGTGTCATTCTACTCAGAACACTTTCTCTTTCTGGAAGCAAGCCTGCAGAGATGTAATGAGCTTTGATTGATTTGCTCCTTACTAATGGAGAAATGACATTATGGGAATGGATAAGATTCACATTTTATTCCCCTAAGAGATAATTTCACAGTTTCAAATGTCTTGACTCAGTGTATTTCTGTTGGGTAATGACAATGCTAATACTTTCTGATGCTTTTGTAGATACAATAGTCCTACAGTGGGCACAGTGTAGCCTTCATGTTTGAAGGTTTTACTTCCCAGAGCTCAGATGCTGGATTGCTATTCCTTCCTCTCTGTGAAATGAAGCTGTGGTTTGGATGTTTCCTGCTGTGGTAATTGTTCTTTTGCCTTTTTGGTTCTTTATCTTCACCAAAAACTCCTTCAAAGTTAAATAAATGTATGTGCTGTTCTAGGTACATAAAGACAAGCTGGCTGCAAGGACCAGCAAGTTACACTGGCTTCAGAAGGGGGTTTTCCTCACTTGTAGCCAGATCATCT